AGCCCTTCAGACACTCCTGAAAGTTGATTTTAAGATGTACTTCCTTCCGGTCACGCACCAAACTGCATTCAGTAAAAAGTGACCTCATAAGTAGTATGAATTTTCTCTATTGGTCCTGAATAGCCCTATAAATGCAAAAATATCTTGCGGAAAACCTCCAACGAAATATTATTTTTTGTACTCACTTGGCAGCAAATAATGTCTCTCGTCCAAATGCATATTAGGAGAAAGAAGATCTTTGGTTTTGAGGAGTCTTTCAATTTCGGAGTAATTTTAGACTGAAACTGCCTTTGCATCTTCGTTTAGGGTTTTCAGTCGTTAAGGCGTATACTTTCCATACAGAGAAACACATGTACCCATTTCCACCATTGAAAAAAATACCATATGGGGTTCACAAATGCTGCAACGAAGGTTGACTATATAACATACTTAAGGAGGAGCACTATTAAACGGGTAGATACAACGATATTTGAATGGACATTCCACGGTGTTAATAAATCTCACAAAAACTCTTTTTTTTCGAGTGTAAAGTTCGAAGAAGACGTGACGTGTACAAAAGTAAGGTCCTCGTGCATGTTTTTTTGCAAACCATTTTTAAATTTATAGAGATAAAGAAAATTGGTCTAAAAAATACATACTACTTAAGATGTCACTTTTACTGAATACGGTTTTTGTGGGGGACCGAACAGGAATGCATTCAAATACCAACTCCCCGGTGTCTGAAATTTTGCGGGGTTACGTGGCAAGATAATAAATATTACAACCCCATTTAGGTAATCCTTCCTAATCGAAAACACGTGAGGTCTGTCGCTCCCGCGATCTTGCTACAGATATCGCATTCAGGTGGTAAAGCATGATCCTGACTGTTGGTGGTAGCTGTGGACACAGGAATTGAAGTAGCGTAGAACCCTCAACGTTGCTATCTGTAATGAGGGTCCACTTACAGAGGAGTGTTGCATCATTCGGCAGTCTTTTAAACCGCAACTTCTAGACCTTACTGGCAGCCTAAATGTCGACTACCATCCAACCCGAGATAGTCCTATACCTCTTATCAAGTCTTTGTCACCTTATTCAACATCATGCTCTCAATAGACAGACGTCCTTCTCGTCTCGGTAAAACGATGCCCACCTCCCTGCGATAGCGCGACATATCACAGCTTCCATGTCGCACACAAATCAGCTTGTTGGGGGCCACACAGCAACGCTGACGTTGAGACCCCAATTCCCGTCATCTGGGCTGCAAAGCAATCTGTCACCTCTTTCGTAGATCTCTAAGGGCTGATTTCACAAAAACCGGATGGCATGAAGTCTCCCATTACGCCCTAGAGATGTAGCCAGTCTTCTTCATAAAAGAATTCACCATCTTCAAGAATTCCCCGGCGCTCCTTGAAGTCATAAAATACTTCGCTCAGTATGGTCATATATACATGTGAAGGAAGATATTTTATGCAGATGCCTGCCTTGACGCCGTCCACTGCAATCGGTGGAAAGAGTTCACTGAAATTCCCAGCCGCAACGTCGGATCACAGTAGTCTGCTCCATTCTCAGTAAAACCTGTGTGCAAATCCCGAGCAAAGCGGGGTATAATTACTCGTATCAGAAAGGACAAAGACCTGTCTGCCGTCTTGCCTAGTACCCTCTCACATATGAGGGTATTTTGAGTGGTGCGTATGACGATGGGTCCTCTGAAGCAGAACTGCTTGGCTGGAAACGAGTGAGATTTCAATGATTTTAGCTACTGCATCAATCTGACTTGTTCACATGTCTCACTACGCAGACAGTACCACGCGATGGAGAGGCCTGAAACTTCAGCATCGGATCATATGATTAGCTCGTCGGACTCCAAATCGGGTGATCGAGCTTTCGAGTGGTGAGATAGCCACGCGCACTGGTGATAGTTCATAATGCTGAAAAGGATCATTAAATTGACCGCGAAATGGTTCGAAGAATAAGGGCTCCTAGGTTGCGCACAAATAGGCTTGACTCAAATCGCGGGAGCAACGCTGACGTCAGAGTTCCAATTCAAGTGGACCTCACACACTCACTCTCGCGCACTCCCTCTCTCTCTCTCTCTTGCATCAGACATCGTTCCCAAGCGACAAAGCAGAGTCAAGACGACTGGCGGTAGACGTGAACAATGGGTCCGGGCTGGCAAAGATTCCGCGTCACTTATATCTGGAACAAGGGTCTCCTTCATAGCAGCCATTGCAACGGGATGCGAACTCCACAGGACCCAGGAGTTGGGTCACTTGGCAGTCTTACAAACCGCAACTTCTAGCCCTTACTGGGATGTCAGATGTCGACTACCGTCCACCCCCTGGCGGTTCCGCACTTCTTATCAAAGCGCCGCCGCCTTATTCAACTTCGTGTCTTCAGTGGACTGACTGCTTTGGCAGGCGTTTCTCCAATAGACCTTATGAACCTCTTATTGTCTCACTAAATCGATTTTAATTTGCCTGTGATAGCGCGACATTTTACAGCTTCCATGCTGTGTACAAGTCGGCTTGTTGGGGGTTACACAGCAGCAGCGCTGACATTAAGACCCCGATTTCCGTCAGCATACGGTGGTGCCGGCGACCTATCAGGAAATCTTCGACTCCAACCCTGACCACGAAGGCGAAATCTACCTTTCACTTAAATTTGATATTTGATGAAGACGTACGCCTTTATTGAATGAGTACACGAAATTACTTTTTAATATAAGAGCACTAAAAATGCATGCTCGCCAAATTGCGTTCTGAGCTTTCTAAGTAGTTGTTTTTTTTTAATAACTCCACTGGTTCCAGTAGCCCGTCAGAGCACATTTCCTTAGTTCTGGCGTCAATTTGACTTCGTCCGGGTCTCGAGTTCGAGCCTCGGGTGTTCCACATTTCGGGGTTGGGTATGACTGGCTGAGGACGGCTAATAAGCCAGAAATGGCCATTCCAATCTTCCTTGTCTTTGTCGGTAATAACATATTGCCTAGTCTTCGTCCATTGGCATTACCTCCAACCAATCATCTCTCAGGAGGATAAGTGGCTGTATTTCTCACAAGCGAACGATTGGGGGGGGGGAGAAGTATTGATTGAATACCGCCCGCCAGACATACGAAATGTCAGTGTGATTCTTGATTCATCCTACTTAAGTATGTTTGTGACGCCGTGATGCTGTCGAGGGCCTTCGCAGGGCTTGCAACATCCTGAACTTGATCGACGCCAAAACAACTGACGTAACCTTGGAAGGGGTGTCATTAAAGAAAAAGATGCTCACTCGAGACAACGTGTTGGATAAATTCGAGAGGCATTTTGGCAGACAAACAGCTTCCGGTAGCGTACCTGTCCGCAGCGATCTGAGGTCTGGCCAAAGGAGTTCGGCGCTTTGTACATTTCTTGGAGAAAAGCGGTTATACGAATAGACGTATTCAGAGACCCATGGAAGACTGACCGACTAAATCAGGGTGATTACGGTCGAAAAAGAGATCGACCACAAAGTTCGGTTTTGGATATCCCCCTCATCTTGACTCTTGACCCGTCCGTTGCAATTGGCAACCCCACACCTGTTGTCCATTGCCAAACCTGGTTTGTTCATTCATTAATCCCCATCTACTCCAAGAATGCAGGGACAACCTGCTTCCTCTGCGCCATACATGTAAACAGCACGTTTCGGCGTGCGTGGAAAAGTCATTTATTTCCATAACTTTATCTTCCACTCCCTTCAACGCTGGCAAGGTACGCATGAAGCGTACGGCCTGTCTGTAATTGGCCCTTACGCGGTGGCGTTAGTAATCGTGACCAGTGATCACGCCGATCCACGCCGGCTTGTGTCTTACTGTCGCAGAAGCCACACACAACATTCGCCGAACCGAGCGCCGCACGCGAAATATGAGCCTAGAGAGGGAAAGTTCGCAGAACTTGGAGTCCATCTTTCTGTGTACAACTGTGAACAAGCGAAAAACGGCCATGCCAGTCCCAGGCTTAGTCGACCGTCTACAGATCAGGAACGCAGTGCGTATACTGCCAGCCAGATGACCAGTTCAGACAGTCGGCAATCAGTAGCAAACTGCGTTGAAGCATTGAGTGAAAGCGATGGTCACATGAGCTTGTGGCACGCGTTAGTTCGATGCGGAAACTATACTTGCGCGTAGTGCGCAAGAGACGGAGACTTTATGATAGGCTAGCCACTGCGTGGCACCTAATTACCACGGACTTCGGCTTGGGCTTGCAAATGGGGTGTATCCTAGTAAAGGAAGAAGGAAAGGAGGGGAGGGGGGGGTCGATCATCACTACAACAAATTTGGAATAAGATATCCAAGGTCGTCGTGGTCATTCGGATTGAAGGTCGGGTCGCATCTATGGTAATGTTCCTTAATGAGTGACCAGGAATGCTCAAGTTCGACTCACGCGTGCAGGAACCAGCATGCGTGCGGTACGCGTAGAGTGCGGTCTAATTTCGGCAACCGTCGTGTCCAAGCAACATCTTCAGTCGTCTCGAATTTGTTTTGCCATTCAAACGGGATGAATGTTGAGAAGAGGAGATGCTGCCTAAGGTCTTCTCACTCATAAACAAACTCCCGTGCAGGCCACTTCTGACGGACAAAAACCGTGCAGTGTGAAGATGCTAGATCAAAACATTTGGCAAACAGTAGCCGATTTGAAACAGTCTACATACTTATAAAGCATTTATTATGAAAATCCTATGCAAAAAACATCAGTCCCATTGGATGAGCTTTCGGAATTGACCCCGTTTTCCGAAATTTTGTGCTTTCGATACAAACGCGCGGTCGATTTCAGAGAAAGTGATATCAGTGGGTAAAACCGGAGTGGGAATACGGGTGTACAAACGGCTTATGGCACACGGAAAATGGGAACCATATGGAAAAATGGGAGAAACAGAATTGATGCATATAAGAAGTCTTTCTAAATCAACAGACCGGTAGGAAAATGCAAAATACAAAATTAGCAATCATTTTGTGACGCGGAACGCAAACAAAAATTTGGGAAAGTAGAGATACGGAAGAGCAATCACACCTTGACACCACACATGACTTGTTCCCGACGTTCATAGTAAACGCGGGTTAGGGTCTCCAGCGGTTCGTCACAGTCAAAAACCTGTAAGAAAAAACAGTATATGGAACAAGAATATAGAGTTAGTCTTGCAAGCCTGAAGACCGATTAAACTCGATTCTTAAGAGGCTGCGTTACGCGCTCCCATCATTTTGGCTAGAATGACAGGCGTTATAGTTAAAAACAGGTCGAGACTCATTGGTTGAGCGTTTGAATTAGAAACATCCGATAAGCGAGTAATCGGAGTTAAAATCCTAGGTTATGGAAACCTGGGATGGGTTACGGCTCACGACGACTCATAAGCCTAAAAATGTCCACTCTAGTCTTTCCTTTCTTCCTTTCTCACAGGCAAGTATTACTAAGCACAACTATGGCCCCCGTAATCAATAATCGAAAAGTATTGCTGAGGAGTATTTTTGGGGTTTTGCTGGGGCTGTCGGCAGATCATAACATAACTTCGAATCGAAAAGGCTTGTGATTTGAACTCAGCCCTACAGTTCACGCTGAAACCAGGCTAACGCCACTTCCGCTATGGGAAGGCGGTTACAATTCCGGGTCGCTCGTGTCACTGTCGTTAGTTCTGCCGTTAGCAAATTTCTCGTACACTTCAAGTTATTTTAGGGTACCTTGCTTTTGGCAGGATTCTGACAAGCAGCGACAAACATGAGAGCGGTGAAAAGTCCGCAAATTACCAGGACAGAATGCAGATGAAGATGAAGAGGCGATCATTGGAAGAAGTTTACTGGTCTGATGGTTCGGACACTCACACGAACTCATTATCAGAGACAGTCGCAAAACACTCCTGTCTGCGACGGTCTCTGGTGATGGGTTAGAGCAAGAATACGAAACGACAGGCCAATAAACTTCTTGCTTCAGCGATTGCATCATCATCATCATCATCATCATCATCATCATCATCATCATCATCATCATCATCATCATCATCATCATCATCATCATCATCATCATCATCATCATCATCATCATCATCATCATCATCATCATCATCATCATCATCATCATCATCATCATCATCAGCATCATCATCATCTTCTTCTTCTTCTTCTTCTACTGAGCTGTTTTCTGGAACTCGCCTGTCCGCATGCGGATGAAGTCAGCCTTCCTGAGATGAGGTGTGCTGCGCCCAACATGTGCGCCTTCCGTTTGAGGAAACAATTCGTAAGGAAGCATTCATGACTAGATTGAGGTTTGTAAAGCTGATTTTCAACTGACTACCCAATTTTAAACAGACTGATGTGTGCTGAACTCATCCAAGAAATCTGAGGTAACCACATCTTTGAAATATATAATTATGGCCACGGGGGAGGCGGTCTGTTACACAACTAAGCAAAACAACTATAAACAGCCGGAGTTGTGCACAAACTTACCAGAACTGGGGCTGGACAGTTGTCGTTTATGCCGCCAAGCAGCCACTTCTCATGAAAATTGTGCAATTGCCGAAGATATTCCTATGAATGAAAGAATTATTTTGTGATATTCTACAAGGTTCTTCTTCAGAAGGGAATTTTAGGCTCGGGAAAGGAATTTTCGAGAGGGGAAAACTGACCATTGAGATAGCCTGTTCTCCACGACGATCCCGCTTTCGGATGCGTTCGGCACAGACTTCGGGAGAGCAACGAAGGTATACTACGAAGGAAGGGCGAGTGCGTGAAGATTAAATGGACAAGAATACAAAGTCAAATACAAGAACATTGAGTTCCACCCCAGGCATCCGGTATAAGTAAACCGACCCCTTCTTGAATGATCGTCTTCGCGAACAAGATGGAAGGTTTGACAACAAATTATTAGCACTGGGCTTCTTTAAAGAGCAACAGGATGGTTACTTCCCTAAGTATGGATGTACCGATCAATGGAGCTTTTACTACAGACTTTCGTTGCAAGATTAATATCACAAGGCGTTTGGACCCCATACAATTAAGATCAAGAAGTTACCCCCTTGCAGGCGAATTTTAGAGTATTAGGACAATACTCAGCCTCCGGCGCAGCTGTTAAATTCCTCAGTTTCCTTTGCCTTCTTCAAGTAAAGTCAGGCGGCTCTGCTACCTTTACTACTACTACTACTACTACTACTACTACTACTACTACTACTACTACTACTACTACTACTACTACTACTACTACTACTACTACTACTACTACTACTACTACTACTACTACTACTACTACTACTACTACTACTACTACTACTACTACTACTACTACTACTACGCACAAGGACCAAATGAGTTCGAACAAGGCAAACTGATGTCCGCACAGAAGACGACCAAAGCCAGCGTGGACCACAAAGCCGAAGTCAATTAGCAGACGCAGAGAGAGGAGGACTGGTAGGCACGCGAGCCCGCCAATTGTCGGCCACACAGAGGTCAAAACTAAAAATTAATAACAAGGTTTGTGCAGGCTATGTGGCAGGCCACAAGGAAGAGTCGCCCCGCCCTTTTGACGATCAAAATGAGGGAATTCCTTAAACGTCAGTTCATCCTCTTCACTAAGGCATAATAAATATCTATATGTTCAACTTTCTCAGTTCTGCAGAAATCGGTGCGCGAACTTGGGGTGTAATCCCCGAGACAAGCTCTTTCTGGGGAGGTCCGAAGGTTTGCGTGAATATTTGACCAAGTACACATCAGCACTAACGGACTAACTGCACGATACTCATATTCTGTCTGCAGACAGTCGGTAACATACAAGTACTTATAGATTCACCATGTTGTCAGCATGGAAACCAGCTGAAAGCTCGGACACGTGTCTTGATAGTGTTGCACTGCTGGCGAGCGCTCATCGTGCCAATGAAAGTGAGTTGGCCATTCCATTTAGTTTCCGTCTATTACAGCCCTTTCAAACAAGCTTTTTTTCTGCCCTCGGCAAGTCATATGAAGGCCGGCAGCGAGGAGGGTTCAGTGTATAGATTATATGCTATTGCACAGTGACTTACCGATGAGATCCAATTTAGAAGTGGGGAGGTCCCTGCCCCATCTGTAAAACTCATCGACGACTGCCAGATCGCCGTCGGACATTTGCTTACTAAAGTTAACCATAAACATAAGCTAAGGGTTAGAAAATGGCAAGATAAGCAAAAGACTTATGGAAACCCATCGCCAGGACACTAAAGCTACCTGAAAACAGGTGTTGGAGTACCCAGTCAACTACTCAGTCGGCAGAATTCCACAAACAAACGCGAATGACACCGCAAACGTACCAAGCGCTACTGCTGCGTAAAAACCTGAATGCACCCTACTAAATCCCGAGTGGCTTTCCCGTTTACTTAAATGATCTATGGTTTGTATGTCTTGTTAAATCATGCGCAAAAAAATTTTCAGCGTTAAAATCGTTAGTGGAAACTTTCTTAAAGTTTTTTGCGGTCCACAAAGAGTCCAGACCGGCGCGTGACATAAAAGTGGACAACCTCACTTCCCTTGTTGCAACGACGATTTCTTCCAGCTGAAGGGCGGCAGGACCTATCAAGTGGTGCGCTGTGCATACCATCGGTAACGAAAATTATTCAACATGAGGGTATGTCGTATGTGCTCGCCTGCACAGCATTTGTGTGACAAACGTATTGTTGCCAAATGTGCTTAGGAATTGAAAGAATTCTTAATGACTACACACATGCCGAAATCAAATAATTTTTACATGCAATTTACTTGGGGATCATTTTGAAAAGGACGCATAAGGGTGGTTACATTTGAGGACGATGTCTTATTGTTACTTGGTGTTGCGACGTGGTCTCAGAAAGTCGATTAGACAACATCAACTACTTGAACAGTCTGCTTTCTCAAGCAGTATTTTGTGGTTTGCTCCAAATGTTTTGGATAAGCTCGGCCATTAAGAAAAAAATGTCATGAAATCGTCATAGTAGCTGGGAAAACAAGTTGCTCAGTTACTGTTATCCGTTCCATAAACCCTCTTCTAAAAACATACAACAAGTCAAAGAAGTAAACATTTTTTTATTTTGTCCATGATTTTATAATTCAGACATATTGAAATGGTGGAATTTAGTGTAATAGAACACCTAAAGTAAGCCATATGACACTTAACTTTACTAACCGTGGACAAATCAAACGCATCGAACACTACCGTACTATATACCTCTTTTAGTTGGAAAAACAGACGGTTACCAGGACAGAATGTGTAGATTAGGGTGATAAAGCCTATATTACTATGCTTTCACAGCAAGACTTATGCTCAAGAAAATGGTAATGCAAGGGGTCATCATTTAGGCTGCAGGGAGATTGAAAGAAAATCCTTGTGCGCTTGAAGGCCGATCATGGTAAAAGTAGATAAAAGAATCAAACAAGTCAAAGGAAGAACAAGTTGACGTTCAAAGCAGTGGTTACTCACTTTTGAATCATAGCTTCGATGAAACAGTGCCGGCTACTATGGATCGTTCGTTCAATTAGTCGAACAGGGGCAACCTAGAAAAGACAAAGACACATCACCATAAGTCCACATATTTCAAGGATCCCATAAATAAACAAGAAGTACTGACAAGAAATCAGACTTTGAATCAATTGATTCAAATATTGTTAACAATATTTCGAAAGCAAATTGACATGATCTTAAAATAAAGTCTCATGCGTTCCGGACGACTTCAGCAAGATAAACTGGAATTTAACCTTAAAATAGTAACCAAATTTAATGTGGCAGGTGATCGTTGAAGTATCTTGCCTGTGGTATAGCCTGCCGGTCCAGAAGAGTGACTATGACTTGACCTTGGAAGGGTGAGGTCCATTTTGAAGGATCGCTATAAAATATCTCCTAAATAAGTGTTTCCGCGCATTATAAGCATCTCACGAAAAGTCTATGCCCACGAACGTTATTCCACAGCTCGATTGGCTCGAGAGATATTTCGGTATTGGGTGAAATGCCCTCGAAAAACTTGAGGAAGGTGGACTTTCCACACCCAATATTACCCTCCACTGCAACTTTGAAAAAGCTAGACAATAAACGAAAACAACAGTCCTCACCTGCTCGATTTCATTTTGTAATTGAACGGTGAAGAAAGAATCAGGACATTTATACACCGCTAGAATGCAAAATCTCAAGGTCACCGACTAGAGACCTCGATTTTGACCCCGGCGGGGAGTCTAACGTCCTTTACTTGTTCGAACAATTTTCTATTTCAATCAGAATTGAAAATACTGTCAGAGATTAACATATTTCCTTTTTTTAATGCGAACCTAGAAAGGAATTGGCTTAGGTACAGCTGATATAGTTTATTACGAACGAGTCCAGATTTGCGAAGGCTCATCGACGCGACCAAAGTAAAAACATCCGATGCCCTCCCCATTTGTATTTGAGACGCGCCATTCTTGAACATTATGAAAGTGAAGCTTGACGGATTTGTCTCAAAATTTACAAAAATTACGGAAGCTTGATTTGTTTCGCTGCGAGTGGTAGCCGGATAACACCGGCCCGATGTTTTCTTTACAAAACTTCCGGTTTCTCCTTACAGCGCTACATTCGTTCCTTTAGGACAAGATGCAGAATGGTCACACCCGTGCTTTTTTTGTCTTAAAAATTTCACACCGACAGGCGTCAGAGCAATTGTATGTCTTTCGTGGAGTATCTGCGCGGATATTTAGACCAATAAAAGCGCCATGTGTCTGATAAATATCTGAAAGAGTTGAACAGGTAAAGTAGTAAAACGCAAGGCTAACTGCGAGGGTTTTCACGAATACAGGCTTGATACGAGCTCATAGAATGACCAAAGCTTTTTATTCACTGCAAATCGACGAAAAGTGCAGAATTCTGAATATATACATATAAGGAAAGAAATCGTTTTTTACGGAAGATGAAATAACATGGACCACTTACAGAACACAGCCAGAAATGTGCGCAAAATGCACAGCTTTACGTGCTTTGAAATAGTTGAATTTTTAAAAACACGATTGTTAACCGTGTCAATGGAGCATTTAAAGGAATTTCGCTCAAGAACACGTGAGAACTTCTTCCTTAATGGGGAGTCCCAGCGTATCATTTTGACAGTACATACACACCGTTCCTCATTTCCAAATCTGTTTGCTGATAAATGTGCTATGACTGCGGCGAAGTCGGTGGAGGTATCGCATAGCGCATAGATTGGACTTTAGACAAAATTCTGTATTTTACTCTAGTTAAGTATAAGAATCATGTGACTACTGGTTAATTCAGCCACTATTATTAGCCTATTCTCTTCGGAGATAAGCGCGGTTCGACAGGGGACCCAAATCATTTATTCATGTTCGAGGAAAAATCGTCTAGAAGAAAATGCTTCTGATGCCCGTTCACATAATGCGAAATATAAAATGGCAATGGAAAGCATCATTGGGGAATGACAGTTCCATTGGGGCACCATACGTAGGGAGCATGCGCAGAACGCCATTTAAAAAAACGATCATGTTGTCGAATAAGGCGCTTTTTCCGCTAAGCAACATAACTGAAATTAAATATACAAGCAAATGAAATCTGCCTGTGTGAAAGTCCTTGCAAATGTCATAAAAGAAGATGTTGACACTTTTGTCTTTGTAAATCTCACTCTAACTGTGTGACACTAAGTGCGGATGCGTTTGAGACAGTGCCTCTCGTATGTGGAAAAACGATAAAAGCGTTAGAATTTTATGCTCTCCAAGTGAAAATACACACGTTCACATATAAGGGTGCACAAAGTTTTCAGACTAAACCATTTGGGGTTGATAAGATGGCCATTTTCTCCAGCAACTCATGAAGATTACTTTACGGAGAAATGCTTAAAGCTGCTTGAAGGACTGAATGAAAGACGACCAAGATTACGAAGGGCCTCAAGATTTTATTTTAGAAATGAATCTTCAATGTGCTTAACAAATTTCCTTCGTGTAGAGGTAGGTCGAAAGAGATCACTTACAGACCTGCCGTACAGTGGGGAATCAGGACAGTGCCCCTCACGTCGACGACCTTTTGGCATTGACCACGGCAAGAAACCTGCACAGAAATCCCACTAACTTTCAAAGAACCCGATCCTACCCGGATGATAGCTGACAGTCGTTTCCAGAAGAAGTTGTCAGTAAATGGAATGGACTTCCAACCAAAACAGTAATTGCGGACTCAAGGAAGACATTTAAGCGTGATCTAAGTAAATATTTACTCTCAAAAGACCGTCCAAATGAACAGGGGGCATTTGTTGCACCAAACTAGCCCTCTTTGAATAGCCTCCGCTAAGAAAAAGAACAATTATTTCATATTTCACATTATCCCCCGTAAACGGGGTTTGCAGTTCTTTACTTTTATAATGATATTCTGTAAAATGTATATGCCGCTGAAAACATTTGGTAACATGCTTATTTGCATCGTAATATTACACGAACAAGTTCAATGGGATCGTCAGACGCATTGTCTATTACCCTTAGACATACTGAATTAAGCCGTTATCTCGTCTGTTCAAATGGGGCTCATTTATATTCCAGTGATCAGCAAATTATATTTGAAATTAGTCCTCAGGGCCCTGTTCAGCCAGCTAGACGTTTACATTCTCAAGTTAAATATATTTGCCACCAGAAATCTCTGAAGTGTGTATTTGATGGTCTATAGAAAGGGTTGGTAAGGATAGGTCAACCGGTTTTGAAGATAATTCGCCGTCTTTGTTCTTGTAGGTCCTCTCATCCGTCTTTGATACACTTTTGGTTAAGTTGACTTTAGTATATTTAGCGTGCAGCTGTATCGCTTTTAAATTGTTTTTTTTGGACGTCTCAAACTGTATAGTACGCACTTCGAATCTGATTCCAGTGTAGTACAGCACAGAACATAAATACATTGCAGCAGTACATAACAGTTGCGATTACTGATTTAATTGCAAATATTGTCAAATAATCGATTGAACACTAGTTATAAAACATAGTTTAGTTAAGATGGAGATTTTCAATGACTAATCCTATGACCTTGACAAACTTGCTGATCGATATGAAAGGAACTTTCTTTTGCATATGTGAGATATATCTCATACGCGCAGGAGCCGTATGTCAACTTCAAGTCATTATTCAATAGTGCTCGCACTTCCCTTACTGATTCTGCCTATTCGATCGCAGTATCTAAGAGCGCGTGTACTGTCAGTCAAGGACAAGCCATTCACCTGAGAATTTCTTGCTGGCAGTTAAGGATGGGTCAGCCGGTTGCTGCGCTCATGTGTGGGACAAGTTTTCAGGATTCTTATTCCGACAGATCCTGAGATTGACTGGCAGAGATTTTAGGCATGGCAGGGGAAGACGTGAATTGGAATATTGAAGTTTAATCTCCACAGTGTCGCACATATCCTCTGTGACAGCATATGTTACCGGTCATTCTGAATGTTGCACTCCTTCACCTTCTCGTGCGAATAAAGTTGATAAAACCGGCTGTGGAAAATAAATTGATATGGCGGCTGACTGAACAATTAATAGACTCCCTGGTTAATTTTAGTAACTTAAAATTGCGATTACTGCCTCGACCTGAAATCTCAATTGCGCCGAAGTTGAGATGATAAGCTATTTGCGGAGCAGAAATTGCTACTGTCGAATTTGGGTCTAACATTTACACAGCCAAGCGGTACTTGGGAATTCGCGTTTGTGGTCGTTGGCCGGTTTCTCCGAGGTAACTTTAACTTCCGCAGCCACATTGAGGTCGGTAGACAATGCCGACACCTTTTTAGTTCCTTTAATCGCGTAACTTGCTGGAGGCCTGTTGAGCCAGACCTTTGAGCAGCTCCTAAGCTGAGCTGCATGCGAGATGTGGCTGAATTCTCGGAGACTCCTTTATATATAGAATGCACTGCCATGGATTAAGTCCACTGCTATCCTCATTCCGACCTCTTCGTGGCGCTAGGCTCCTCACTGGTTATTGTACAATTTTGACACAGCATGCATTCACAGACAACTTTATACCAGTAATCAATGGTTGTTGTATGTAATTACTTACTTTATTTTCTTTGATACTTGCTTTATATGATATTATTGCAACCAAAAGGAAGTTCAAAGGCGCTCGCCTACCTTTCCCTTTATAAAGCTGAACCTGAATATCGACAAGTGCTTGCGGATAGCCATTGGCTCGAGACAGCTTTCGATGTAGATCCATCTCGACTCGTTTTTTCACTCGTGTTGCAATGAGTTTCCATACTCTGGTCTAGCCTACTTGAAAAGTCTCATTTTTTCGAAGCTGGTAGTTTCTATTACAACTGAACATTTATAGCTATTCGTCGGTTTTCTGTAGACTGTCGTCACCATCCAACCGTCATATTTGCGACTAACCAGAATGTACTAAAACGGATCTCTGTCTTTTAACTCTTCCGTCATGAGCTGCAGATCTAGAACTACCAAGTTAACTCATTCTCTGTAGGAAGAAAACTCGTCCCGATCAGTTATGACAA